CCTTCCTTGGTATACCGGGGATAATACTCCGTCAAGGATTCGTGGAAATCCTGTCTCATCACTCTGAGATTGTTCATAGTCTTCACCACCGTTTTGAATTGGAAAAAACGAGTGTGGAGTTTTTCGCTAAAGTCCGTCTAGAAGGGATGTTGTTCAGAGGCAACGAATGGAACCAGGATTTAGCGGTGCCGGTGAGTACAGTTAGGAGGCCCTTTGCCATGTAATCGTGATTAGCATTATGCAGTCGCATCGCGCTGGGGTAGTCGGGTAGGAACGAAACTGTTTGGACACGAGTCATCGGTGTACTTTTTAATATCACTTGGCATCTTGAAACCTTTCGACTTGTCAGTAGCCATAATGCGGGAGCATAGAGGGCCCAAATTTAGGGAGCCAGCAAGAATAACCGCCAAGCGCGGGTTAGAGGGAACAAGGTCTGGAACCTCCGGAACGCGTGCTCCCAGGCGATCACCAATCATCACCCGGTGTCCCAGTCTGTCAGTCACAATCAGACGCGGGGCAAGGCGATCATGGGCAGGAGCACGGGACGCATGGCGGTTTCCTGGATCCGTTGCGGCCCTGCCTATGCGCAGATACTGAATACTTCGTTCTCGGTCGTCATCCTCGCGATCCCGGTGCTCTTCGCATTGTGACTCCGGGAATGCCTTGAACTGTTCTAGCACCACAGGGTTTGCCATTGCGAACTCCCGCCATTGGTCGTCGATAGCCCGAGTTTCAAGCTCTTTCTGCAAGTTGGACCCTTGGTAAGCATCTGCTATCTGCTTGCCAGTGCGACCGCGTCTCGCGTCTTGCTTTGTTGCGGCCATTGGCTTAGTGGACACAAGGTCCAGGGGGCGACTGCCCCCAGGCTCCTCAGGCCTCTGCCGTGTAGATACCATTAGAACCTAGGCGCACCAATCAAAAAAGGAAAGGTAAAACACAAGGAACTGGGACGCGCTCTGTGTATTATAGCGTTCCCCACAATCGGCGCCAATTGATGCGGTCCTTGGTTGATCGTCATGACAGCGTCTAAAATACCTAAAAGCCCTGCAAAATAGGGTTAGCACTCTAGTGCTTAAATCAGGACTTTTAGAGAGAGAGAGAAAAAGTATTAAAGTACTAGAACCAGATAGAGAAAAAACCTCCTTGAAATACTTAGGATGTCTCCTTTTATAGACAAAAAAAAGGGGAATATAGAATATTCCCTTAGCACATGGGTCCACATGGCTATGGATGGGCCTTTTGTGGCCCTAAGATTATTGTTACTGAGGGCCAACAAGCCAATGGGCATCCATTGCCCCATCAACTCCTAATTTAGTCTTCACATCCGTTATCATTCTTTCGGAGTGAGAAAAAAACCATCCTCGAGGTTAGATGTAAATTTTCCCCCAGTCAGATCACCAACTAAGGTACCATCGATCATATATCAATTGCCATCCACTAAAGAAGATCATTATTACATCCAGTGGCGGAATGAGAGGCACCAATAAGGATGGTTGCCCCTCAATTTTTTAATTAGAGGGCTATTAAATTTTTTAGTATAAATTTATGAAAAATTTTTATTTAGCCCCTGTGAATAAAATTGTACACGTTTTTACTCCTCGGGAAATTATTGAAATTTTTCACCCTTACTCTTGTTGATTCTTGGCTCCGACACTGATCACATTCCATATCAACAACACATATGAAAAAGCCATTATGATAAAAACAAAAAAAGAATGGTAATACTCCAAGTTACCATGGACATTCGGTTTGAAGTTGTTGAAGCATACGTCGAAGTCATAAATTTCTTGTCGCAACGAACAACCCCTAAAAACTCCCGTAAAAGAGGTGCCCATATTGTGCATATCCAAACCCAAAATATTGTCATCACGTGAAAATTATACCATGCAAATTAAGTGCATGTAGTTAGGTACACATAGACCCTTATTTGACAATTAGTATAGGAAAGAAGGGCTAAACATGCAAGTCTTTATGAGTTAGGTGAAACACACGCACCACTCTTCCTTATTTTTAGGAAATGGGTTTCAAATTTTTTTTTTAATCTTCAAATGATTTTTTCTCTCAATCCGTAAAGAATTACTTCAAATGTCTTATATCATTTTGATAGTATTCGATGACATCTATCCAACAAAATCCATCATGAATATATTTTTCAAAACTTAAAAAAATTATGCAGGAACCTTGGTCTTACTAAAAGATATTCTGGTATTACTTGTTTCATTTAGCACCACGACCTACAGAAAACACCAATAGCCAAAGGCCAAAGACCAAAAATTCAATACGAAAGAGCAAAGAGCAAAGACTAGAGTAAAGAGCGATTGTGTGTGAGAAACAAAGACAAAAGACCAAAGACCAAAGACCAAGAAACCGAAGATCAAAAACCAAAAATCGAAGAACAAAGACCAGAGTGAAAGAGCGAGCATTGTGTGAGGAGCAAAGACTAAACACCAAAAGCCAAAGAGCAAATACCAAAGACCAAAGACCGAAGGCTAACGACCAAAGACCAAAGACGAAAGACCAAAGATCGAAGGCCAATGACCAAAGACCAAAGAAAGAAAGCCAAACACCAGAGACCAAAAAACTTTTATAAAAACTAAAGACCAAAGAGCAAAGACCAAATACCACAATTAAAAGCGAGCATGTGTGAGGAGTAAAGCCAAAGGCCAAAGATAACAAATCGAGAAAAAATATTAGTGTGTTTAGGATTCAGGAGGGGGGGGTTTAAACATTTTCCTTCTCGGTTACGGACTACTTGTTTAGGATTTAGGGTATAGGGGCATTTAAGCATTTCCTTATCGGTTAGAGCCTACTGCCGTAACACGATTAACCTATAAATTTTTTTAAACCAAAAAAAAAAATAAATTAGTATGTTTAGGATTTAGGGGGTTTAACCATTTCCGTGTTGGTTAGGGTCTAATTGTTTAGGTTATTAGGTTTAGGGGGTAAGAATTTCCATGTCTGTTAAGGCCTAGTTTGTGCCGTAACACCATTAACCTTATAAAATTTTTTAAACCAATTAGGCTAAGGTCTCGTTGGTCTAAAAAAATTTAAACCAAAAAAAAAATTGTGTGTTTAGGGTTTCGGGGGGTTTAACCATTTCCGTAGAGTCTAATTGTTTAGGGTTTAGGTTTCAGGGGGGTTTAAGCATTTCCGTGCATTTCCGTGTCGGTTATAATCTAGTTGTTTAGGGTTTAGCGGGTTTAACCATTTCCTTGTTGGTTAGGGCCTAATTTGTGTCGTAACACGATTAACCTTATGAAATTTATTTAAACCAATTGACCCTAGCCTAATTGGTTTAAATAAATTTTAACCAAAAAAATATTAGTGGATTTAAGCATTTCCGTGTTGGTTAGGGTCTACTTATTTAGAATTTAGGGTTTAGGGATTTAAGCATTTCCGTGTTGGTTTGGGTCTAGTTTGGTCTTTTGGCCATTGGTCTTTGGTCTTTACTTCTCATACACACTCGTTATTCATTTTGGTTTTTTGTCTTTGATCTCTTAGTTTTTGGTCTTTGGCCTTTTGTCTTTGGTCTTTGTTTTTCACATACGCTCGCTCTTCACTCTGGTCTTTGGTCTTTGAGTTTTTGGTTTTCGGTGTTTGTTCTTTAGTCTTTGGTCCTCACACACGTTCGCTCTTCACTTTGATCTTTGGTCTTTGGTTCTTTGTCTTTGCTCTTTGGTTTTCACTTTTTTGTTTTTGGCCTTTGGTCTTTGGTGTTTACTCTAGGTCTTGGTACTAAAAGACACAAGTAAGACTATAGCGTCTTTTAGGACGACCAAGGCAATTGCATAAATTTTTTAAAGTTTCGAAAAACATATTCATGATGGATTTTGTTTGATAGATCTAATGAAATACTATCAAAATGATATAAGACACTTAGTTTAGTTAATTACGGATTAAGAAATAAAATCATTTGAAGATAAAAGAAATTTTTAAAACTCACTTCCTAAAATTAAGGGCAAGAGACACGTGCATTGAAAACGAAAAAAAAATGCATATTAAATAATTATACATGAAGTCCCTCCGTTATTGAACAATCAAAAAAGAGTCTAATTGCACTTAACTAGATCCATTTAATTGCATAGTATAACAATTAGTCATCATGTAAGGAAGGAGTAGCAAGCTCTGTAGCATCAGAGCCACTAAAAAAAAATTGTCCCGGTCCTTTTCATTAGTAATTAAACACATCAAGGGTGTTACGAAAACAAACAGCAAAGACCAACTCTTCGTAATGTGAGAAAAATCATCTATCGTGAAACGGTAAAAATCATCCCATCGGTGTAGAAGTCGTCTCTATCTGTCCAAGACATGAAGAATGGACTCGCGCATGATCTATTGAAATCTAAATGTCCACCCAACCCATAAAACGAACATAAACAAATAAAACTAAGGAAACCCTCCATGCTTGTTGTTGGCACTAGCGGTGAAGCCGTCGATACTAAACAGTGGCGGAATCATGTTCACCACTGCGTAAATGTTTTAAACTCTGAGTGTGAAGTATAAAAATGGAAGGATATAATTTAAACTATATCTTTTTTTACTCCATCTGTCCCAAAATTATTGTTCTGTTTGAGTTTTTACTTTTAGTTCAAATTGTACTAAAAGTGAAATATCAAACTAACAATAATTTTAGAACATGGGGAGTATAACTTTTTGTTTGTACTTTTTTTTCCCCAGTAAACATCTTTATTTCTTCTTGTTTTCAATACAAGTTTATTTAGTTTTTTAGTAATGGAGAGAAAGCTGATGGTGGGCTTTGATAGATATGATAAACGAGAAGGCAAATTCCTGGCCATCAAATCAAAGCAAAAGTTTAATCGATAATATATTTCAACAGTTGGCAATTCAAATTTTTTGCAAAGTACAGGTAGCACACTTTATGTGTAGAGAAAGTCTACAACCACATCCAGAAAGCTCCGGTTTGAGAATGCAAAACCTATGCAAGTACATCAGGGCATCTCTTCTCTCGTATAATTAAAATAGTGATGAATACATAGTGATCATAAAGCAATTAAGTCTGAAGCTGGGGTGCGAAAGCCTAAGCCAGCACGATCATTTAGTTTCCTGCAAAAAGAGAAAAGGGTAAGTATCTTACACTGTTTATCAATCTCGATCGAATTCAAAAAAAGTATACAAAGTAATAGCGACGTTTGTGACGAGATAGTAAGTCGTCTACTAGAAAATACCCGAACAAACAAAGCTCCAAAATGTAGACTGAGAAGGTCAATCGGAACTAGGGTGAGAGCATATTACACGTACTTAGAGGACAGAGGGAGTTCACCGCTGTCTGCAATTACAACTTTGCTTTTGGGTGCTCCATTTTGCCTGCCTTGTGCTTCAATCTTATGTACCACATCCATCCCGGAGAGCACTTTACCGAAGACGACGTTTCGGCCATCCAACCTGCTGGCTGTAACAGTTGTAATGAAGAACTGTGAACCATTGGTGTCGGGACCAACGTTGGCCATGGACAAAAGACCTTTTCCAGTATGCTTGAGCTTGAAGTTCTCATCAGCAAATTTCTCACCATAAATCGATTCGCCCCCTCTTCCATCACCAAGGGTGAAGTCACCACCTTGAATGATGAAGCTAGGGATGATCCTATGGAATTTGCTTCCTTTATAATGGAGAGGCTTCCCACTCCTTCCAATACCTTTCTCCCCTGAGAGCAAATATGCAGCAAGTTAAATGAAATCATTCAACACGATGCCGACATTCATAGGAAATCAAAATCCCTACTGTTTCATATTCTAATACTTCCTAAATTTCAAAATATGCGCCTTTCTAACAATTTCGTTAATATCAAGAAAACATTAAATATTGAGTTTGATATACAAAATTACCTTTCTTTATTATCCATGCAACTCATTAATAACTAATAAAATCTCCTTTCAAATACGATTTCATTTCCAATATAAGCGCAATAGTGAAAAAAAGTACAAAAATTGTCTCGATATTGTAAAACAACATATATTTTGAAATTGAGAGAATACTGTTTTATGTCAAGTAATGTTTTGGATCTACACGATGACTAGGTACATCAACTCAACGGTCAAAAATTCCCACTTATAACAATATACTTTACCGCTTTCTTTTCCCATGCAAAAAGAGAGCATAGAAGAAGTTTAAGGTAGAATAATACCTGTGCACAACGCTCTGAAATTTTCTGCAATGGCAAACAGAAAATAGATTGAGAATCAAAACGTTAAAAAGGGTAAAAACAAATGCCAACAAATACCCATTACATCTACAACATACCTACAGTTTGAGGAACTGCTTTCCCGAAGAGACCCATCACGACTCGCCCTGACACAAAAGGAAAAAAGGGCAAGGATTTTTTCAGCAAATTAACGGACAAAGCATGAAATAGTAGCTGAGCTACATGAGAAACTGCGAATTGAGGATTCATGATAGTGAGTAAATCACAATTGGTGCACAAACACATTCCATCTAGCCAACACGATAGAGAGGAAGGACAAAATACCCGCATGTTTTCCATCGATCTCAACATCAAAGTAAACTTTGTGAGTCACTTCTTTCAAATCCTTGTATGATTGTTTTGCCTGAGCAAGAGCCAGGGCTCCCACGAAGAAGAGGCTGCAAAGGCAAAGATCAGTTTAGAAATTGTGAAGAGCATCTCACCCATTGCTGCTTCACTGTGAGACTTTGGACTTTGGAATAGAATGTTGATAAATTTATTTTGCTTCCAATTTTAGATTTCAAATTTCACAAAAAAATAAAAAAATAATAATCTTATTCTGTCCAAACACATTCCTTATGCATCTTGGTCAATATGTTACTTCCTGGAAACATAGTTTAATATTGGAAAAAGTTTTTAAAGTTAGACTTATGACATTTATATATATATATATATATATATATATATATAAATCCATCTCAGTGGACCCTACTTAAATGTGGATAAAACCTCCTTACAACCCCTAGTGAGAATCGAACATATATATCCTACTATATTAGAAACAAAAACCTCCCTTTCAAACACCTCATATGATTGCCACGTGGCATATAGAAAGTACTAAATTGCCCTTTTGTCTAAACCATAACTAAATTACTAAATCTCCCTTTGCACTTTACGTGACACGTTTTTTTTAAAAAAAAAATTTCTTTATGTTTCATTCATTTAGAGTGGTTTTTTAAGTTAAATTGATCAATTAGGTTTTTGTTACAAAGTGTCAATTTTGTTTTAAGCGTATACCCTGCGGATGAAGTTTATTACAAAGCTATTAAAAATCTCCAAAACTAAGTATTTATTTGGCACAACCGAACATCAATAAATCATCTTACTAATATTTAAATTTATTAGAATACTTTTATATTTTATCTAACATTTACTTCAATACATATATTCGATTAAGGCTATTTATATTTAATAAGTAACACTTATAAAATATTTTCTATAACTTACATGGCGAAATGCAATTTCCTTTCTTTTGTGAAATACAATTATTTCTATGATCACACTTATAAAACATTTCTAAATCCTTCAAAAAACATTTCTAAAATATATCGCTCCAAATACAAAATTTTATTTTTTTTCAAATATAAACATTTCTAAGATTTACAGATAGACTGGGCCAGAGTCGCATTGCGCGACCAGACATCACTAGTATATATATATAAGGAATTGTTGCAAAATTTATAGACACGTTACAGACTTTACTCTATAATTTTTCATATTACTTTTTCAATTTGAACGATTAAATCATTTAATCAACAGATAATTGGACTATTTTAAAAGATGGAGTGAGCACTATTCATTTGAAATTAGCTGGTAAAAGGTAGTGAAGGAGATTAATGCTCATTAGTTCTCACATAGAAACGCGAAATACCCTACACATTATTTCAAACAAATAAGATTAAAGAACAAAAATGCACCTCTTTTTAATTAACTGATCCTTGAAATTTGAAATTCCTCTCTTCGGCTGAGATAAAGACAACTCACTTCAAAGGAAACGGCAAATGAATGAAAATGTATCAGCAAATAAATAACATCAACAAAATAAGGCAAAGAATTACTCTCTATTCCTATAATTAGTCCACTTTATTAAATTAAAGTTAGACAAGTTTTTAAGATGGAGAGGGTGCAAATTAAATAAAAAGTAGAGGGCGTTTTACCGGCTATCGTTCTTGTCTTCTCTTTTCTGCTTGTTGTATTTTTCTTTACTTTCATCTTTTGTGAAAGTGATGCGGGATTTGCCCCTTTCTCGTAGAAAAGGAGAAGCAGGTAAGGAGGAGGAAAAGAAAAGTAAAATAAAAATATAAAACAACAACAAATTGAGTCAAAGACATATTAAAAATCGAAAGTTAATTAGAGTGTCTTCCTACCTGCTACTGTTACTAATCTCTTCACTCATACTCGTTATAGCCAGGTCATGCTCACTGATTTGACTTCCTCGTGCAAAAGTTATACAACTTTGTAAGGAAACGCAAAAGGGGGGTGGGCGGGGGTGGTGAACAACAACAATAACCAGTAATTAAGGCGTGTAGAAACTAATTTGTATGTAGAGTGCGTCTTACCAGGGATCATGACCTTCCCATCTCCCTCCTGCTGTGTATTGCAAAGGGAGCCTTCCGCAGAAATAGTTAAGCAAGTTTAAGAAAAAGGGAGAAAATGTAAACACTTAATCATGAACCAAAAGCAAAAACAAAAATGTAACGTACAAGAGAGACTGACTTACCGATTATCATACCCCACTGCAACGCTCCTTGGAGTCTTATCCTGTTCAAGGGATTCCCTTCTTCGATGAAACAGCCTAGCAAGTTCAAAGGAATAGAAAAATGACAAAAAGACTCAACTATATAATTAACACACTTGAAGTTTGAGAGAAACGTACCAGACAAACAACAAAATTCAGAAATTGAAAAAGGCTCAATGTGTCGATTAAAGTTAGGGAGTGAAAGTTTTTTTAAGAAACTTTTTTTTAAAAAAAAAAAACCAAAAAACAGGGGGTACGGTAATTGTAATCTACCAAAAATTTGAGGTGAAAGGTTTCTCTTCCTTTTTTAGAAAAAAAAAAATTCAGGTAATCAAGGTGAAAAATTACTACTGGCTACCTTTGTGACACACATACATCACTTTATGTTTGCAAATACATATTTGCAAATAATGAATAGACATCTAGTTTATATTGTACTCCCTCCCGTCCCCTCATTAGAAGGTATTTTTGTTTGTTTCAAGTTTCACCTAGTATGTTTTTTATTAAAAAAAAACTTTAGAAATATATTTTCACATTCATTGTATTCTTCTAGTTAATGAAAAATATTTTTAAGATCTTTATTTCAATAAAAAAATATAATATGTTAAACTTATGATAAATCAAAATGTCTTATAATAAGGACTACAAGGAGTAATACTTTTTTTCTTGGTACAAAAAAAGGAAGCAAATATCTTAATAACTAAACGATTACATTCCATTGGCATGAAACACCAACAATATTATGATCCAACAAAAGTTTTAAACTCGTAGGTGGCTCATCAAGCCATGCAAGACCACCCGGACTAGTGGCCGCAAATGTAAAATGGCAAGACTGTAACTAGTTATCATTAATCTATCCTACAAAAAGTGGAGAAAAAACACATATACACACGCACACACAATTGATGTGGTCTTAGAACCAAACAATGCAAGATTAAAAACAATATGCAAACCACTCAAAAGCGGAAAAAGAAATGGAGGTACATATATAAAGTATGGTGTTCCTTACCGGTTGTCATACTCTTCCGGTGTTGTTTTTAAATTGTGAGATTCTCTACGTTTTTCTTCGGTAGTTGGACGTTGGTTTTGAGAATCTCTACGTTCCTTACTAATAGCGGGATATTGCTCGTGGGATTCCCTACGTTCTTTTCGGATTGGATGCTCTTGGGATTCCCTATAATATTCTTCTCTATTTGGATATCGATCTTGAAAATTCTTATGTTCATCTCTTCTAGTCGAATGCTGCTCTTGGGATGCCTTGTGTTCCTCTGTGATTGGGGGACGCTGATCTTGGGGTTTCTTAGATTCCTCAACGATAGAGGGATTTTGCTTGTCGATTTCCCGACGTTCCCCTTCGATACTTGCATGTTGCTCGTGGGATTGCTTGTAAAGTTCCGTTTGTTCTTCTCCACTGATGCTTAGATGTTGCTCTTGAGATTTGCTAAGTTCTTCTCTCAAAGTTGAATGCTGCTTTTGTGGTTCCCCATGTTTCTCTATGATTGTTGGATGTTCATCATCTGGAGATTCCCTATGCTCACTAGATTCCCTACCTTCCTCTATGATACTGGGATGTCGCTTGTGTAAATCCTTTTGTTCTTCTTTGCTGGTAGGATCATGTTTTTGCTCTTTAGATTTGCCAAGTTCTTCTCTATTATTAGTGGTACGCTGCTCTTGGAATTTCCTATATTCCTCTCTCGTATTATTTCGATCGCGCCATTCTATAAAGCGTTTTCCACCATGAAAGTAGCTCACCAAGCTTATCATGAGAGTATAGAAGGATCCCAAAGCAAAGAAAACTCCTTCAACTGAACCAAGGGTTGCCACAATTCCTTGCACCACTGGAGCGGCTGCAACTGCACCCGTATCCACCGTAAAACCGGCACCACGAATGACAAATAATATTTTGAAGCTCAGCATTCCAATGCCCTTCAATATTGAATTTTCATTTCCCTGCAAGAGAAATTACTCTTCAAAAAAATAAATAAATAAATCAAAGAAAAATATCGTAATGATCAATCTTAGTGGAGAGTGATTAACATTTCATACATTTAAAGAATATCACATAATTTGAAACATCTGACTGGAAGTATAATTTAGGCATACTCTTTTTTCCATATATTATTGTGGCAAAAGTTTGAAACGGGAACACACCTCCTTCTTTTTCAGCAGTTCGTAAATAGCGTCACCATCTCTTCGAAAATCGTCTAATTCCGTTAGCAGAGTCTCCAATTGTTCATGAAGGTGATTCCAGTTGGCATGTTCGACATGGGCACCTGCAAATCAACATAAAATGGTGTTCTATGGTAATTAGCATATGCCATTTGGCCAACTCTTACTTCGGTGAGTTATGTTTAGACATTTTCGTATAAATGATCGATCCACTCTATCTCACTGTATACATCATAATGATCATCTTGCATTACTTTTTGGTTGGTTAAGAAGAGATTAAGGTTTTGTGTAGTGCTTTATGGTTTAGCTTTGGACTTCCTAAGCAGTTGAGTAGCAACAGGTTTTATAGTAACAGTAATTCCATCATTTACTCCTTTAAGACCTTTTTTTTAAAATTTTTTATATTATGTATCTGATATCCGAATTTATTACTCTAACTAATATTTTAATTATTGTTGCATGTTCATGCCTAACTTTGAACTTGAATCATATTTAAGTTGGCTCAATACCTTTACCACTTAGACCACAATATTTGTTGGTTAATTTTTTTATTTTAAAAAAATGAAATGGAAATTCACGCATCTCTAAGTAGTAGTACCTCCATTTTTTTCTATATGTCGATTTGGGTGAATTTAACATTTTTTTATATTATGTGATACCTCATTTCTTACGTAGTATTAAGTACACTTTTTTCAATTATAATCCTCTTCATTTTTAATAACATATATTAGTAACAACTACCCCCTTTATCCCTTAATTTTTAAATCTGGTATAGTCCATGTACTTTACAGCCAAGAAAGGTATTATAGTAAAAAAAACTTATAATGCCAATCATTGTGTACATACTCTACGACAGATTTATTAAAAAAAAAAAATTTTAAAAATACATGAAAACAATACTAACTCTTACCTTGGACAAGATTCTGGAATTCTGTGAAATGTTTATCCGGAACCAGCGGCTTAGTTGTTAGGCTGGTCAGCTTATCTGCTATTTCTCGCACAAAATTTGTGGTAGTTGCAGCCCTTTGTTTATGCACAAGAGAGCGAAATGTAGGCTCAATCTCCTAAACAGCGATCAGGAGATAGGTAGGTTAGTCGTTACTGATTATTATGAGTGACTACACATTCTCCACTCAAAAAGAAAGAATAAATAAATAAATAAGAAAGAAAGAAAAAGCCTCCAAACAATTCGTTCAAATTCAGAACTTGAGAAACTCTATTCCCTCTAATTAAAATCTCTAATCACAAATTCCAATTTTTTGTCTCTGAAACATAGTCTTCTTCTTTTTTCTTCCCTCGAAAAAATCATTCCCCATAAAGAAATTGCCTCCCGATACTTTTCCTATATATTTCCCAGAAAGTGAAAAACAGTGCAATTATCTGAAGTTAAAAAAAAAATTTTAAAAAAAAGATTGATAATTGACCATGAAATATTCATTTAAGGATGTATACCATTCAATGACCGATAATGTGATACAGTTTAAAATTTTTTTTTAAAAAAAAGAGAAAGATTGATAATATTTCATTTTAAAAGATAAATACAGTAATTCACATTTTTCCTTAAAATAATGAGACATTAAATGACACATAAATTGTATTTCTTCCGTTCCAAAAAAAATAGTTCATCAAAGTGGATTTCTTTTGAGACTGGGGGAGGGGGGGGTGGAAGTATAATGCACATATATAAAATTTCTTATTAGTACCCTCAGTATTTGTCCAATCAATTGCCCTCTTTGCTCATTTCGTGTTTGTTCATGAAGCTGTGCGGTCGCATCATCGTACCTACGAGATCAATAAGGATTAATTATATAGAATCGTTAGTCGTAGATGTTTTAACGGTTGCCTCGGCGTGAAGTTACTTCGGAACTGGGACACTTACTGGGTGAGGTAGGTGCCAATAATTGAACTGACTTGTTTGCCAAAGTTTTTCGATAATATTAATACATCAAACTCGACCTCTTCCTTTATTTCAAGCCACTCCTGCATACAAATTTGTTATTTGAAGGCACAATAATACACGTAATAGAAACAGTTCATTACTCTCTCCGACCATATTAGGTTTAAGTTGTCACAGCGTTGAAATGTTTGATCAGGTTAGAGTTTTGCAAACCGAATGATTAAAATCTAAGTACCTATTCCAATAAAAGGGGGAAAGGAGAGAGATTAGGGTTAAAATCCAATATTTCTATTTTCTACTCAACATTCTAGATTGAGTCGGTAAGTAGAACTTATAATAGAAACTACTCAATTTCAATCTGAATTAGTTGAAACAATGACTTCAGATATCAGGTATGTAATATTAAAAACAAAAATTACACTAGAAATGATAATTGTTTCCAAATTAAGAGCAAATATCAGTTAGCAAAAACGGCAAGTTCCCAAAGAGTTTCTCGTTACTCTCACAATGCTATGCCCGACAACGACTGTGGAAACTAATTACTATAAATCTACTGGATAACTTTTTTTAGACGGAAAGAGTACCTAGTACTATTGGCTTTGTAATCGAATTTGTATTCCTTTTAAGACTTCAGATTAACGGTGCAATACATTTTAGTTATTGATATGTTATACTCGCTCCAATCGTTATTATAAAATTTTTTTATGTGTCTTAAGTTTCACCTAGTATATCCTTTTAATTGAAAAAACAGACAATAAAAATATTTTTCAATAAGTAGGAGAACACAAATAATGTAAAAATATTTTTGTTTTTAGTTTTTTTCAATTAAAATAATATGCTAGATGAAACCTACGACAAATTGAAATATCTTATAATTAGGACACGGAGGGAGTATTAATTACCGCCAATGTATGTGTTACTTAGTTAAAGGTGCTGTCAGTTACAATCGCTAGGATAAGTAGAACTCATTATGAGATTGGTGTGTACTCTTTGGGCAGTTAGCAAAATCCTCCAAAAATTATGATATCTTTATAGAATAAACCTCTAAATTTTGATAATCATTAACATCGATCTAACAATTAAGTGAATTAAGTTATATTATTTCAAAAAAGAAAATCATCATTTTCCATAATAATTGCATGTAAACTATGTGTTTTCAACTTATGCCAAAAAAAGAAAGTAATAAAAATCACAAATGATCCACATTTTGACATCTCTCGATGACAATCAAAAAGATCTAGTTGATTTCCATTACATAATTTCAGATGTTGCCAGAGGCATACCAAATCTTCATATGAGGAAGTGCCAAATAATCTACATATATAAAAGCTTGTATATCGTTTTTGGTGGTTTTGTAAATAAATGTATAAACAGTGAGACAAGTTAAATGATAGCAGAAGGAAGAGTCAAGTCAAATGGCAAAGTGAAATTCGAGTAATATAGGTTACCTTTTTTTTTATTTATCTTAAAAAAAAAAAAAGTAAAGGGTTACCTTGTTTTGGCCAAAACTTTGAATAATCTCCTCTTTGACATTATGACAATGCACACCATCAACTGTTACTCTCTGTAAGCTAGTAGTAAAGGATCAGAATTGTGAGGCAAATGTGTACCAAATCAAATTCTGAGTTCCTGGTTTTACCCGTTTGAATTCAGTGTTGAGGATCCTGTCATTCTTAGTGGCGTTCCAGGTCTTTCTTGCGAGGTCGATAAATTCTGTTGGAGCATATCCGTTTCGCTGAGCCAACTTAAAAATTCGATCTCTCAACCCGACCACCTTTTCAAGAAGTTGGAGTGAAATTATAGCACCGATATTGAAAAGGCCAAACACTTGTCGAAATCAAAATTATGACTACTTCAAGGTGATATATCAAAATAGAAACCCTAAAACTAGTTTGGTTCATAAATTTTATATTGCTCCAGTCGTCTAAAACAGAAGCATACCATACGTACCTCGCTTTCAAACTGTTCCCTCTCATATACATAATCCACTAACGCCTCCACTTCAATCTGTATAATTAACTTATAACTTTATCACTTTTCAAATAAAAAAAAAAAAAACTTATTACTTGATCACCAAAAAATAGCAAAACACATCAACATAAAAAATTAAAAAAAAAAAAAAAAGAACTCCTACATTGACATGATTTGTTCAGAGTTCATAATAAAATCTGCATTTTGGGAGATTCGATGTGGTATCCCTTCCGGTTTTAATTACAAGTCCTGAATTAAGATGCTTAATTTGAATTAATAATCATTCATGTTTGATTACGGGCTTTTCATTTCACTTATGCACTCTTAAAACGAAGGGATAAAGCAAGTGCTAGGAGAACCCGTACTGAAAAGTGAAAAGAAAAAGTAGAAGAAGAAGAAATAAAGTGGGAAATTAATTAATTAACTTACAGTTAGATAATCCTGCAGCACTGGCCTATTTGCACCTAGGGATGTGAATATTCCATTCCAGATCTGGAACAGTACACCAAATGTCATTATAGATCGATGAGTTATAGTGAATATTTATAATACGAATATAAATGGGTTTTTTTTTAACCTCGTGAAGGTTCCCTATAGCCCGCTCTCTCAGTTTCTCTATGGGGGACTGATTTAATTTGAGAAATAACAAATCATTAATATATTGAAATAATAATCGGTGAATAAGTACTTAGTCTTGTAGACCAGGTAGTACGCAATGATATCTACCTTGGGTGGTCTATCACGAATAACAATCACTATATGCACTCGTCTTGGGGTGCTAAAGTTCCGCACCATCACCTGCACAACATGATCTATTTGTCAAAATAGTATTCTTTTCTTTTCAAAAAATAATAATAATTTAATTTATTATACTCACTGTCTCCTAAAATTATAGTCTAGTTCATATTTTCACTTTTAGTTTAATATTACTAAACATGAAAGTTTAAATTGGAGAATAATTTCCGAATGGAGGAAGTGTTTTGATCAGTTTACCAAATAAATTATTCCTTGGAAAACAGATGAAAATATTGTTATAAAAGACAACTGATAGATGTAGTTACTCCATACTGGGAGATGAAATTGTACCTGAAACATGGTTTCTAGGAGCGACCGACTCCCACCATTGTTAAGATTGATATTGTCGTGCTTCCTATTGAATTACAAAAAATGATCCTCAGAATATATAGGCGCCTTATTTCCTAAGTCTTTATGGGATTCATCACTGAAAGCACTAGTCCAAATATTTTTTAAAAAAAAATTAATTAAAACATAACTTCCAAATATTTAATCCAAGTTAATAAAACTAATTAGGCTGTGGATCGTAATTAAGTAAACACAAGTTTGATCATCAAAATACCAAGAGGCCTTTGACACGCTACATTCTGTATATAAAATTTTGACATTAATGTGGGAAAGTACATAATAAGTTCTTTTTCAGATTGAATCAACTCACACGTTGAATATCACCACATTAGACATAGCCAAGGCAAAAAACGTCGTTTCTCTTTCAAATGCTCCAATACCCTGCCGTAAACAAGATGGAGATTAGGAAGATGAACGGAATCATGAATTCCAAACAGTCCATCACAGTCGAGACGTTACATGAAAGAAAAGAATCGAAATCATAACAGTCCACTTATTATTATCATTTCTAATTGTCGATTATCATTTATTTTCCTCATAACATTTCTTGATTTCTTTCTAGATTAATTCCAATTTTACAGATAATCATGTGCAATAACATTGTTTAAAAAAGCTGATTACTTTCTCACAAATAACAATAGAAAATTATGGAAAACTTTAAGAAGATACCTGTAGAAACAATAGCCAAAAAATAACCACTCGACATCGGGCTTTTAGTGATCGACATAAGACTTAAAAAAAAAAAAAAAAAATCGGAAAATGCAGTCCTAACATGCCTAAGATAAAGTAGTTGAATCTTGGCAGTGAAATGAATGATTAAAATTCCGTTTGGTTAGATTGAATTGTAATTGAATTGGAATTACAATTGAAAATAAGATATTAAAATTACAATTCAATCCTAATTTCTTTGTTTGGAATATCTTAAGAATTGACTTGAATTAAGGTTCTAACACCAATTCTTGCGTTTGGATGCATAAAGATTTGGATACTTTAGAATTAAAATTAGTTTGTTATTATATAAATAATGCAATTTATACTTCATGCCAAAAAAATTTTTTAAAAAAAATAACTTAATTTTTTATGTCAAAGTAATTTATTATGGATATGTATAACACAAAAAATAAAAAATAAAAAAAAATTCAGTATTTACATGTATATTAGACTACTTTGTAGTTGTTCAATTAGTATAATTTTTACTTTTTTAAAAAAAATATTTTTTTACTCATTTTGCTATATCAATTTTATAAGTTATTATCTACACAACTTTTTGTTGAAAACAGAAGAAATATTATTACATACAAATTAAATATTCTACGTAGAATTCTCACTTAACAGACACACAAGTAACATACAATTTTTTTTTTTTGAGAAAAACATATAAAACAGTCTTGTTTTCCTTTCTTTTACTATTTTGTAAAAATTTTAAATTTTTGATATTTTTTATTTATATCAAAAATTTAAAAATTTTAGCATATTACATTGTAAATTCATTTTATGAATATTAATGTCCATTTATATATAGATTGACATCAATATATAATATATGCTTAAATTTTTTTATTTTTAGTGTATAATTATATATAAAATAATAAATACTTAAAACTCAACTTACATAATTTTTGTTGAAAAGATGCCATGTATAGTTTAAAATTTATATACATATATTATAACAATAACATGGTGTATATATGGAACAATTTCTATAATTTTTTTGAAAATTTATGTTGTTTACTATGTCATAATATAATAAAACATTTTAAGCCAAAACTAGAATATTTATTTATGTTGAACTTTTTTTTGGGGTATAATTATACTTTTGATATTTTTTTGTCAAAAATATGTAATGTTTATTTTAGGTTGATTTTGTTGATGATATAGTAATAGTAATAATTATTATAAGACAAAGAGCCCAAAAAAAGAAAGACAAAGAGAAAAAAAAAAAAAAACACCAAAGCAAGCGCTGCAAGCAAAAAAGAAAAAAAAAACAGCGCTTCAGCGCTGGGAAAAAAATATTAAAATATTTTCTTTTAAAAAAACAAGGTCAAAAGGAGAAAAAAATGAGAGGCGACCCATTTAAGATATAACCCGAAAAAGACCCGGTTTGAACCCGCGTCTATTCTTTAAGTCCCTTGAATTTGAATTTGAATTATGTACTCCCACAAAAGAATTGAAAACAAAGAATTGGATCCCAAAACGAATTGTAATTCTAATTTTTAGACTACTATTTTTATCAACCAAATACAAGAATTGGAATTAGAGAGCTCCAATTCTAATTCTTGGTCCCAATTCAATACAACCAAACAGAGCCTAAATGGAATTGGAAGAATCAAAAGAAGATAAATGCAACAAAGAATCATGATGGTCAAATGAAACTATTCAAGGAAAATGTTGAATAAAAAATTGCTTATTATAAAACTTTATACACTACATGATTATAGTTGACACTGAAAAAAACATATGAGAGAGTTAAGGAGGAAATAAAAAAATGGAGTACAGAATGGCATTTGGATGGGAAGTGGAGGAAAAAAGTATAATGCAAAGAATGGATATGGCTGCTGAAAGGTGAAAAGGGAAAAAGTCATGCAGCAAAGATAATATGGAGTTTGTATTGTTCCAAAACATAGTCTCATCGGAATGAAGAAGCTATACTAATTACTAACCCTCCAAACTATAAGGGGTACGTAATTTGTCGTAGATCAAACTATATATGAATAACATAAATAAGAATATTAATATGAAACGAATCTAATGGAACCAATTGGCCTGGTTCATTTTAGTTTTTTTTTTTTTTTCTATAAAAGAATTCTGTTTGAGTACATAAGAAAACCATTGGCTCGGTTATTTCTAATATTCCACCTTTAAATAGTCAAAACAATAAAGTGGGCGGATTAAAATGAGCTAGAAATGAATACAAAAATAAATAGAGAATCACCTCTTGGCCTCTCTCCCTCCCATCAGTTCCTTCTGTATCAAGGACAAGGATTTTCCGGTGGCCTTCCGGAGATGAGCACTTTTGTATCCAAATTCCTCTCGTTGTTTGCTGACTGCAAGAAAAGATCCCACATATATGAACATATATGATTGCTATCTTTTTGGTTTAAAGAAGAAAAAAAATAAAGTACATGAGTTAAAATCGTCCATGCATATGAAGAAAAGTATTGCAGCGGAAATTTAGAGAGTCATACGGTCCCTGGCTACCATCCATCTCCTGGAAGTTTGTAGAAAAGCATCTATTCATAAGTGTACTCTTTCCTGCAACCAGTTAAAATGAAAAACTGACATGTGCCTCTTTACACCAAGACTACAATATATTATTTTCTTTTTACTTTTATCTGTCGCTTTAAGTATGCAAAACTATCAAAAAATAATGAGTGAGACTCTAATTTTATAAGAATATCGTCTTTCTTGTCCCTAATTAAAAGTATTGAAATTCTACAAAATTTTAAAATTTAAGTAAAAAATAAATAGTTGTCATTAATATATGTTATTAAAAATAGAAATCAGATAACGGTAGAATCGAAAGAACTGTGCTGTTGTATTGAAAATAAAGTAAAAAAAATTTATTCATCCTAATGTGATGGATAAAAAAATAAAATTAGTAAAAAAATGTCTATTGATAATTGCTGTTAGTGACTATTTATTATTTATAAATTGCAGAAACAATAGTAGTCAGTGAAAACCAAATTAGTCCAAAACCACAATCCAAGAAGTTTATGTTACAAAAAGAAATTTGTTTAGTGGCGGGACAAAGAATTTTTTGCTTTTTTATTTCATCAAACGAAAGCTACATACAGATGGAGCAAATTACTTTACCTGAACTTTGAACACCAATGACGGACACGACACCGATGCGATCATTCTCGTAGTCCAAATTCAGATGTCTTTCGATATTTTCGTTGAAGCTCCCATCTCCTCTTATCAGCACGGCGGGAGCGTAACCCTGTGCAGCTGCAGTAAAAAAAAAATGGAAAATTCATTGGTTGGTAAGTTTTTGTTTTCTAAAGAAGCGAGAATCACGCAGCATTTTTATGACTTCATATCATTTTTCATCCCTAAGAAGATAACATTTCCCTGTCCCTCTCCCTAAAAACTTTCTCAAATACTCAATTTAATGATGAGAAAACTACTTAGAAAAAGAAAAAAGAAAAATACTAACCCATTACAAGGAGAAGCTTTTAGTCAGACTGATGAAGATGGAATTAAGATACCAAAGAACAAGTTTGCGGAGAATTCTATCATATAATCCAACTCCGGGAGATGCAGATCAATTTCGGAGGTGGCAATGTGACTATCTGTATTATATATCAAATATTCTGATTGATTAATAGAAATAAACCAACCAAACATAGCCGCATTTAACAGAATTGTCCCTCCGTTTTTGCTGGTTGTAACCCTGTCAAATTGCATATTGCAATATCAAGTTCATTTTAATAATATGTTTACTTTCTAAAAAGACTTTGACAATTCATTGTTGTCCCTATATTTATTTGTTTTTTAAATAAACATCACTTTCATAAATTTTTATTGGAACTGGTCCGCTAATGGTTGATACCACTACCTAAGTTAACTATGGATGACACAATATAATCTACAAATGAAACCGTAGTTGTAACTATGTGGATATGTACATGTATTAGATTTCAAGAGATAAGCACGACTGCACGACTCTATATGCTCGTTTTCAATAACCCAAGATTTTAAAGTCATTTATTTTTGCTTTAAGCTTGCAAAATTTTTTGTCGTCGAATTGTCACGCATATTGGAGTGGTTAATTGGATTGCTATTCCTTTAAGGATGATTTTAGTTTATATTATTTAGGCAATACAAACAAGAAATTATGAACCCATCATTGCCTCTTTCTTCTTTTAAGGGACAAAGAAGAAAAAGAGAGAGAGGGAGAGACTCGAAGCATTAAAAAAGGACCAAGACAAAATCAAAGCATTTTAAAAAAGACAAAGACAATTCATTAATGTCCACATCTCTGTTTCATCATTTTATTCGTTGACATTGGATCAAATTTTTTTTTTTTTAAAATTTTTCGATCCAACAAGCTAAAGGTGATGGAAGAGGCGCACAACTTGGGAAAACCAGAGCAACTAAAGAAAATCAATCGGTTGTTGACTAATTGGATGTTGATCATTGGAGTATTCGATTATATATATATATATATATATATATATATATGTACTGGGGAAGCATATGCTTAAGATCTACAAAATACCGCTTCGAGGGGGAAGCGGACAGTCAAAAGATAATTTCGCTAATACTATATCCGGGGGCGATGACAAAGTAAGCACACCCGAATTACAAAATAGTCCTAGTTTCTCTAAGGAGTCCGCGACCTTGTTCCCCTCCCGTTTTATATGCAAAATATCTACATGCCATTGCCGGTTGAGAAGGGCTCTGATTCTCAGCAGGAAGTTGCTGAAGACTACGGAAGGATCATCTTCGTCATTTAAGCTCCTAGCGGCGTTGGAACTGTCCATTTATAGTTGAAGTTTTCTGAAACCTAATTTTCAAGAAATGCTCAGGCCAAAATAGACTCCCCAGAACTCAGCTTCTAAGACAGAGCAAAAACCAACATTGGCAGTGAAACCGGAGATCCAAATTCTATCTTGATTCCTAAAGACTCCACCAGCCGGAAGCAGTGTATGGCCGGGTTGGATTTTGGGATTGTGGGATTTTGTGTGGTGGCTATGGGAGTTGGGGCTTTCGGCGGTTCGGCAGGAGAAGAACAGGAGAAGCCGGCAAGGGAGAGAAAGAAAAGAAAGCTGACGGCGGAAACCCTAAAAAAAATTGAGAGGCCAAGAAAGAAGGATGATACCATGAAAGAATTATTGTGTATGTTATTCACATGATACATTGTGGTATTTATAGTACAATAGTGTAACAACCCTAGCCGTCTACATAGAAAACCCTAATTAGGGTTTTGATTATTTCCATATTCTATCACGCATGAGAAGTGACAGCCCCATCTGTGTTTAGGCAGATCCATGGCCATGGTGGTGGCTTCCAGATGATTCTCGAACAGCTACTAGTTGGCTGGACCTTTGAGTTCTTGTTCAGACGCATAATTTCATTAGTGGCCGCAAGGCCCACAAGAATGGAGAACCAGAGGCTTCGGGGGTTGGTGTAGTTTCCAGCAAAGATTTCATCGTTTCGTGCAAGCCACATCTTCCAGCAGCTCACTGCAAACAAGGTCTTCCAGCAATCAAAACCCTACAAAGACGAAGAGGAGAGATTAGTTGTAATCCAATTGGTCCAGTTAGATTCCTACCAGAAGGTCAAGTCAAGGTTGTTGTTGACATGCTGCCAAGTCAATTTGGTTTTAGGACAGTCCCTAAAGAGGTCGAAACAAGTTTCAGGTTGGGATCAGAAGGTACAAGCGTCTGAGTCGGATATATGTCTTCGTTTCCGTTCAGCATTCGTCATCAGGGATCTTCTCAAGAGTGACCAGAGGAAAGTTTAGATTTTTTCGGGGCCGTTCCAATGCCACGCCGCATCCCACTTCTTATCCTCAGGTTCCCAAGCATTCTGATTAAGGGCCCCAAATGCAGAGGATGTGGAGAACCTTCCATTTTTTGTCCATTTCCGAACCGGTTTGTCGGCACAAAGGTGAACTTCAGGAGGGGGAGGAGCTAGAATTAGGTCTTGAGTAGCTTTGTTCGTCCAAGGTTTGATGATATTCCACGCCCAGTTGCCTCTGTGATCCACAAAGTCTTTGACTTTGAGATGAAGGAGGTGAGTAGGGATTTGAGCAGTAGCAAGTTAAGCTAAAGGCCGATTCGTTTCAAGCAACAGATCATTCCAAAATGAGATCGACTCGCCATCACACACAATCCATTTGATGCTTTTTGTTGCCGTGTGCCAAACCTTCGCCAACTATTTACCTAAATGTGACATTCCAACATATTGGTGGAGAGAGGCCACATCATGATTTGCAGCATGTTTTGCCTTGAAAATGGCAGTCCAAAGAGAAGCTTTGCTCGAGATTAACTCATTGGAGTACTATATGTGTGTATTATTTATTAAGTCGCACTAATGGGCACACATATGCTGGAAACTTGGTGTGAGCAGACCATCGAAAAGGGCCTAGCAAATGGTTAACCCAATACATAGGATGGTCCTAGTTCGCAAAACAATGGCCCAATTCCGTTTGAAACTAAGTCGGTCGATGGAATTAGGAAACTTTCCTAAATGCGAGTAGATCAGCTTATGAGATGGACATCTGAGTTCCGTGAGATTGTCTCACTTGGATTTCTGGGTTAGTCCAGCATGTTTTTGGGCGGATGTTGTATTTCTTACATCGTATTTTGATTTGTCTTCGATTTCATCTAGTATGTATTTTTAATTGACAAAAATCATTAAATACATATTTTTACATTCGTTGTATTCTCATAATTGTTATGAAATATTTTTAAGATTTTTTATCAATTAAAAATACGTACTAAGTAAAACATCTGATAAATCAAAATGTCTTATATTAAGGAGCGGAAGGAGTACATGTAGACTTATCTATTGTTTGGGACAAAATGTCACAAATTCCGGCTCGGGATATAAGGCCTAGAAAAATCCAATAACGAGCCCAATAAGTAAGTAAGAGCCTACCTCAACCTAAAACCTCAAGGTGATAGGTTTTGGGACCAATTTACTTGTTAAGTGCTCTCTGTTGTTCTCATATACCGATGTGGGACAATCCACCTACTCATGACCTCAACAATCTCCCCATCATGAGTAACTCACCACATCAAAGCTCAATTCCTTTATTTAGTTGTAACAGCACTAAACCCACCTCTACCCAAGTCAGAAATGCAACAACTTCAGGAGTACCGAGTTCCATGGGTCAACCTAGGTGCACAACTCCCAAAGGCCCAGATAGCCTGCTAGCCCCAGCAAACCTTCGGCTCTGATACCATTTGTCAGGAATTCCGGCCCTGGAAATAGGATCCAGAGAGTTCCAATAGCGAGCCCAACCCACCTCAACCTAAAAACCTCAAAGTGAAGGGTTTTGGGACCAATTTACTTATTAAGTGCTTTCTATTGCTTTCAGATACCAATGTGGAACAATCCACCTACTCATGATCTCAACACAAAAGTTTTACCAAATTTAGAGGTGGCACAATGATTGTAGATAAATGTGATACTGCCGGGGACCAAACAGAATGCAAATTTGATCAGGTTTCAGTCTGCTCCAACTTACAAAAGATTGGTACTCCTTCAAGTCAAGAGCGCAAGTCTTTTCTTCTTTTTTTATTTAACAAAAAAGTAATAATATATATAATTATGGAAAAAAACAGGGCAGTGAATATACTAAACCCTCTATCAAGTACAATTTTAATCTTATGCAAAATTAGCATCCTTATTTAATCTAGAGGATCGACGAATTTGAACATTAGATTTAGCCTTACTTTTTTTCTTCCGATTGTGGTGTGGAAGAGCAAAAAATTAACTGTAAAAGGACTCTCGTTCCATTGCCAGTTCTATATCAAATTCATCATCTTCTGAACCATTAGAGACTTGATTTTGTTCACATTCATAATTAATATGATCAATTGAGAAATTTGTATAAAAAAACTTTGTGTTCTTCCCTATCTCCGTATCATCTTTGGATATGTATTGTGGAATAGGGAATAAAACTGGAGAAGAGGAATTTTTGGTTGAGGTGAATAGGAAAATTCTGCAACACCAGGATTTAATTTATAAGAATTAATGTGATCAAGAACACAAGTCTATTGAGGGGTTCTATTATTACGTTTTCGTAGCTGTACCTTTCTTGTCTGGATTATATTTCAATATTGCATCCAAATTCTTACCGAGTTTATTCTGAGCGCAAGTCTTAAGGACAAGATTTATTTTTGAAGGGATGATTTCTCACACATTAGGGTTGGTTTGGAGTTGTTAGAAAGTGCAAGGACCTATTAGCCATTGAATATTTTTAGTTACGTTTTTTCTTTTTGGCAAAATTTTTAGTTACGCTTTTCCCTATATATATGGAACTGTAAGGCAAATGTCCAGATTATGGACTGAATGAATATTTTGTTTTCCTCTCAGAAACTATCTCTCAAATCTCTATGTTCTTCTTCTTTCCAGATTCTTTGATCACTCTGGTTCTTCTATCTTCGTCCCTCGATCACCTCTGAAGCGCGCATCTTGGTTTATT